TGCTGCCTTCAGGAGACCCCATGGAAATCGAATGATTTCTGTCACATCAACTCAGACAATGGAAAATATAAACTATTCTGGAATGGTCAAAAGACGGGGAAATTTTTGTCAAAGAACCGCTTACCCAAGAAAGGATTAATTTACGTCTCATGTGGATCAAGCTTCGCCTAGAAAAGCATACAATGACTATTTTTTCACCACAGATAGGCGAATCAGAAGAGATGAAATATTAATAAGTCATTACATCTGGGCTGCGTTCTCTGACACCATCTCAACAATACCAAAATCTGGAACAATCCTGATTGGAGGCGATCTAAATGGCTACGTTGGAGAGAAAACAGATGGTTTTGACTACGTGCATGGCGGTTTTGGAGAACGGAATGAAGATGGCAACCGCATCTCTGAGTTTGCTGCAAGTCATGGGTTTTGTTTAATGAACACATATTTTAGAAAGAGGTTGGAACATTTCATAACATACAAAAGTGCTAATTGATTTCTGTAGGAGAAGTACCTCGCAAAGCATCAACAACTATCACATTTTTGTAGACCTTGAAAGAGCATTTGATCGAGTTCCCCGTGAAGCAACCAGGTGGAGTCTACGTCGACAACTCATTACAGAATTTCTTGTTCGACTTGTGATGGAAATGTATAGGAATACCAAGATTCTCATCAGCACAGCGGTTGAAAACACAGATGCATTTGAAATCGGCGTTTACCAAGGCTCGATTCTCAGTTATTTACGCAAAAAAAATATCGTCCTACCTTGGGTAACTGGGCCTCTGGGCGCTAAACGAAGATTAATTGATTGTTTGATTTTTTTTTATTGATTGCCAACCGAACCTTTTGAAAAACATGTAGTTATGAAATTATATTTTTTTATAAAATCGATGCAGTGCAGCGACTTAAAATTTTATTTGTTCTAAGACATTCATTTCAATTTTTGTTTAATTTTTAATAAGAACATTGCCATATCTGCGTTGTTTAATTAAATGCAATTGGATGTTAATCCATTGTTCCAACGGACATCACTACAACGTTATATGACATGTTTCAACAATTCATCACTTTTACGAATTCATGAAAAGTCGGCAAATTTTGTATTTTAAATTTGCTGTTTGTTTTTTTTTCTCGGTTTTCTAATTAATTTTTTTGATTAATGTATTTGTCTAAAAAAGATTTAGGCATTTTTTGAATTAGATTGATAAATTTTTGTTTCGTTTCAAATACTCCTTTTTCTAAACCTTGTTTTGTAATTATCTTAACTTATATACGCTCAAACGAAATACAAAAAAAAATACTTATTTTATTAATTCAGCCTGGTTAAAATGGGTTGTAAGAAATGTTTTCTATGTTATGGTTTATGTTTTCTATGAACGGGACACTTGGTGGTGGAATGACAGTGTACAAAATACAATAGCTGAAAAGAAAGTGGCATACAATCAATGGTAAAAATCAAAGTCTGTTGATGATCATAAAATTTTTCGTGTAAACAACTATGCTAGACGTCAAGTCGAACTGGCTCGAACAGATCAGTGCTCACTAAAAGCTAAGGTGAACAAATGAAATCTCTGTATCGTAATGCAATACAAGCAAAGCTTACGAAAAAAGACATAGTTGGTGCCTCATGTATCAAAAACGACAAAAATGAGATGGTTCTTGAACAAGATGAGATCAAGCTCCAGTGGAGAGAATACTTCAGCCGTCTGTTTAATGAAACAAATCCCATCAATGTCAAACTTTGACACTCCACCCATCGAAGGTTCGATTCCAGACATCACTGTAGAGGAGCTTACAGAAGCTCTGAAAGCTATGAAGGATGGAAAGGCAGCAGGGCCCTCTGGGTTCACAAATGATATTATCAAAGCATCTGATACTGCAGGTATCAAAACGTTACTACAACTTTGCCGGAACTATAGAAAAATTGCTCAACGCAAAATCAACAATTGATGCAATTCACAACCTTCAGCAACTGCAAAGCTTCAACAACTATCACATATTTTTGTAGACCTTGAAAAAGCATTTGATCGAGTTCCCCGTGAAGCAATCAGGTGGAGTCTACGTCGAAAGCTTATTCCAGAATATCTTGTTCGACTTGTTATGGAAACGGATACGAATACAAAGACATCAAAGAATACAAATACAAAGGTTCGATTCCAGACATCAATGTAGAGGAGCTCACAGAAGCTCTGAAAGCTATGAAGGATGGAAAGGCAGCAGGGCCCTCTGGGCTCACAAATGACATTATCAAAGCATCTGATACTGAAGGTATCAAAACGTTACTACAACTTTACCGGAACTATAGAAAAATTGCTCAACGCAAAATCAACAATTGATGCAATTCACATCCTTCAGCAACTGCAAGAGAAGTACCTTGCAAAGCTTCAACAACTATCACATATTTTTGTAGACCTTGAAAAAGCATTTGATCGAGTTCCCCGTGAAGCAATCAGGTGGAGTCTACGTCGAAAGCTTATTCCAGAATATCTTGTTCGACTTGTTATGGAAACGGGTACGAATACAAAGACTCGTCAGCACAACGGTTGGAAACACAGATGCATTTGACATCTGCGTTGGAGTTCACCAAGGCTCAATTCTCAGTCCACCGTTATTTATAACTGTGATGGAATAAATCACAAAACCGATACGCACTGGTGACATTTGGAATCTTATATAGGCTAAAGATATCGTTTTAACAGCCACGTCGGAACAGCACGTCTGAGCAGAATGCAGCACAGATGTTTAAAGATTGAAACACCAGACTCGCCGATCATGGATTCAAAGTCAACATCAGCAAAACCAAAGCAATGATCACTGTTGAACCCATTCAATCCACAGCTACTGGACGATGGCCCTTTTCAGTTTGTAAAGCTGGTTGTAGGGTAACATTTCAATATGTGTCAGCAGTGTAACCAGTGGTGTCACAAACGTTGTTCAATAATAGTTGGTACTTTGTCTAAAGTGTCCAATTTTGTTTGTCCTGCTTGCATCAATCCACAACAACAAATTCGAAATAGCAATAATTATGAAGCCGTTAAAGTAGAGAAAGTAACATCGTTTCAATATCTGTAGGATCCTCTAGATTGTACTGGAACAGCTGAAGCTGCCGTTCGAGCACGCATACGTGCAGCCTGGAATAAATGGTAACCCTAACTCTTACCTGTATGTTGATGCGGCGTGACATCCCACTACCACTACGATCAAGACTTTATAAATCTGTGATACGTCCGGTGTTGTTATATGGTGCAGAAACATGGCCAATGATAACCAAACTAGAACAACAACTTCACCGAACCGACATGAAAATGCTATGATGGATGCAACGAATTAGTTATAAGGACCACATCAAATCTACCGAAATTCTGCGTCGTGCTGGTTTAGACGATACAAAGGACGAATGCCGGCGGGGATTTGGTCATGTCAAACGAAGTGGAAACAGTGCCATAACTTATCTTGCCAAACTTCTACCTGGCACACATCCCAAAAGCCGTCCAAAGAAGTCCTGGTCGCAAACAATCGAGCAAGACATGAAAGCTCTAAATTTAAATGAAATGGATAGAACTGATCGTCTAATTTGGCGCAAAAAGTTGATGGCAAAGAAAACAAACGTCCTACCTCGGTAAACTGTGTCTCTGGACGCTAAACGAAGATTGATTTGATTGATTGGTTTATGTTTTCTATGTTATGGTTTATTGTTATGTTACAAATGATAGTATAAAAAATGTTTAAATATAAATAGCCTTTAAATTGCCTTAATCTAAAAAAAATTTTTCTTAATCTGTTGAAGTGTGACCGTACCACTTGTAAGATAATGATTTAATTGGCGAACTTCTACACAATTGTTGCAGCGGAAAAGCAGGAATTGATTTGATTGATTGGTTTAATGTTTTTTATGTTATGGTTTATGTTACAAATAAAGGTATAAAAAATGTTTAAATATAAATAGCCTTCAAATTGCTTTAAGCTGTGCCAAATAAACCAGGTTTGTGATAGCACGCAAGAAAAGCGTAGTAAAATCAGCATAAAAAGCAATATCGAATCGCTATCGTAAACAAAGCTGGACGTTTAAAATCAGATGTTATGCTTTTAATATTTTTGTGTATATAAAAATTTTTAATTGTACAAAAGAAACACCTAAAAATTTTACTACCTAAGGAAAATTAAATATTGCTGATAAATGCGGAATTAATATTTTATGTGAAAATTTGCAATAGGAAAAAATAGGAAAAAATGTTTCATTGTTTAAAAAAATGGTTGTTTTTAAAGAGCACTGATAATAGTTATAAAATGATACGGTTGATTAAGATTGGCAAAGCTTTCTAATTGCATTTAAATGAAGTTTTAGAACTTAAATGTAAACCAATCGGTAAAAAATATTTTAATTTCATTAATTTTAACTTCCAAATTAATTAAATGTTAAGTTATTGAGTCAGTTTGCAACTAAATATGAAAATTATTTTGTGTTTGATGAAAATCAATTATATATTAAACCATATTGATGATAATTCCTGCATAGTGTACCCTAAGAACAATTGCTCAAATTAGTATTGTATTTGATTATATTGAAGAATGCGAAAGATTATTAAATCTCTATAATTTTATGAAATTGGTAGCCATCAATATCGTTTTTACAAATTTTTAAAATTTCTTTGTAATGTAATCTTTTTAGATGTTTTATTGAATGCTTTATTAAACAGCTATCAAATAAGATACAAAAGAAAATCATGAAATGAGCTGAACAAAGTTAACATAATAAATAGAAATATAGTGTACATTTTAATTTTATTGAATAAAAATTTTCTTGATGCATTATTAACAATATTTTTCGTCTGTACAATGTTAAATCTATAGCGTAGCTTTTTGCTATTATATAGGCAAGGCCGTCTGACAACAGTAACATTAACAATCTCACTTATCACAACTATTATTAATTACTTTTATTAAAAGTAACTTAATTTAAAGTATTGTTTTTCATTTTTTTTTCATTTTTCTTATACGGATAGGTATTCTGAACGCAGTGTCACACGATGCGTTGGCATTACCATAGAAACCAGGCCCGATTACTGTTTAAAAAAACATTTATCGTATGTAGTATTTTAATATTTCATTCTATTTTTTTTAACCCTGCGATGACGGAGATTTTTTTCATCCACTGAAGACGTATGGGGTAGTTTTCTACCCAAAGGCTAAATCTGATGATAACAACAAATAATGATGATGCAAAATCAATTTTATCACTTAAATAAAACACGTTTGGTGAGTAATAAAATTTATAATGAACAAGGATGTCATGTTTACTAATTTGTTTTAATTGTTACAATTAATTATTACAAAAACTTTATTTAAATTTTTAAGGCAAAAAATGAATGTAATTTGTTCAATTTGTAGAACAATTCATACATATCATAAAGACATTTTCTCTACATGTTAGTTGGTTGCATTTTAAACATTTAGTGCTGTTTTCTTATCCTTTATTGTAGGACAAACATGACATCTGCCGGATTTGCTGAGTATAGCAGGAATCTTTGTCTCTACTACGTCATCCTTGTGACCAAAGTTAATCATACTCTGTGAAAAAATTAATTAATTTTAATATTACAATTATATCAGACTTGTCTCAAAAATTTACTTCTCCGAGTTTCAACGGAAATAATCTTTTATGTGGTTTTTTTAGCATTCCAGTCAGGATTCAACAAAATCTATACTATAAAGACATTTAAAATACTAATGTCTAACATATTACTGAAAACTGCCATTGGCCATCTTCTAGTCATTCTTTTAGTTGTGTACAGCCTTAACATTTGATTTGAAATGTCAACTCCACTTTTGGTTGAATTATAGCTTAAAATCATAATTGGCTTTTTTGTACTGGATGTGTTGTCTAGGTCACATTGTGTATGCATATTGCTCATCAAAGCTACAACATTTCCTTTTTTGGACAATATGACACCAGAGTTGCATCATTATGGAAAGCAAACATAGAAGATAAAACATCCCTGCCTTTTGGGGTAATGAATTTTTTTTTACTTTTTCTTACTGTCCCTAAAAAAGTAAGCTTTTCTTTTTTCAATATTTGGATAAGAGACAAACTTGTGAAAATTTTATCATATGTAATATTTTTCATGAACCTTTTAAGTTTTCTGAAAAACCTAACAAAAGTCTTTGAGCCTGATTGTTTTCTTTTTCTTCATTTGATTTTTTACCTATATAAATTTGTAAGCGAGTTACATGGTAAGTTTGACTATCATCCAAAATTTTAAGCCATATTTTCCAGGTTTACTTGGTATATATTGCTTAAATGAACAACGTCCTCTGTGACATTTTCATAAGTAATATATGTATCCTTCAATGTCTTTTCCCACATTTCAAACAACTCTCTTATGGGACTCAATTTGTCTTCACTTTTCTTTTGCCTTCGTTTTGATGCATCATAAACCTTCATTGTTTGAATTTATCCCTTGGCATGGCTTCATTGAATAATATGCGTTCAGCTTCATTTTTTGCTCTAAGTACTCCAGAAAAATTAAGCAATCCAATGTAGAAAAAACATTCTTTTTTATCCACCTCCTTCCAGTTACTTATCTGCTTTTCTTCTCCATTTCAAAATGTTTTCAACTCTGTTATCTCTAAAAAAATAGCTGAAATGAAAAAATAGGACTGTCTACATTTTTTCTACCAATCTTGTTGGATCGGGCTTTTCATGATTTACATTCATCTTACCACGTCTTCCACATTTGTTTTATACTGGTTTATTCTGCCAGATTATGTTTCCACATTTAGATACAAATGTTTTTCTTTTTTCTTTATTGCTTTCATCAGAATATATATAAAATATTTTAAAAAGTTATTTTAATTTGGGGTAAAAGTTAACCCCATTTGTCCTAGGTGCTATATGCATTCAATACTCAATAATACTCAATTTAATACATTCAATACTCCCCTCTAGCGTTATATTTTTATCAAATTTCAGTTGAAAAGATTATTTTAGGAAAAGTCATAAAAAGACAGCCCAAGCTTTTGCGTAGTTTTTTTTTTTCATGCTTAGAAAGTAGCCCTGGGGTAGATTTCAATCCCAGCCGTCATCGCAGGGTTAAGCTGTTCTTATTGATCAGTTTCTTTGGAAACATTTAACATCTTCTAATTTTTATTCGTTAAACGGTGATTATGCTGCCAACCATTTTTTAATCTAGTGATATGCTAGGATATGGATGTACCAGACTTGAAATTGGAACACAAAGCATATATGAAGATGTTGCTAAAGACACGAACAGGTCTATAGTTTATTTAAAAATCTAGCAACCAATGAAAAAAAATATTTTCTTTAACTGAGTGGGAATGAAAATAAAATAGTTATGAAGTTATTTGCTTGGAAATTTTTTATAAAATTGTTCACAAAATTACAGTTTTAATACCAAATTTATAATTACATGAACAAAATTATTTCCCGTTGCTATTACTTACGTCATCTGATTGTAAAAAAAAGGACATTCTTTCTTGCGCTTGCGACAAACACAGACAGCTTATATGATTGCGCGTAAAAACCACTCATCATACACATTGCACATTTTTTTCGAACCCAGTCACTGCAACAGTAAGACCAGGCGCTTTTAACCATTGAGACATTGATTTAAATATTTTGCGGCCTAATGGTCACGGTGTCGAATGTATCTTTAAGAGTTGGAGTCGTGGCTATTAATGTCACAAGTTCAACTCAATATGTTTTAAATATGGTTTTTGTGTTTTGTAAATTGCATTATAAATAATAACTATGTTATGTCATCACCTTCGTTAGCGCACTATAAAACCAACCTCATTTTTAAAATTTATTATTATCAAGACATGTTGAATGTTCGTAGCGGATAGTTGTGGATAGCTGGGGCTAAATTTTTAGGGCTATACCAATTAACATGCCAATTAACTTCAGATCTCTACAGATGTTCCTCTGATGAGTTTTATAATGAATCGCTTCAAGTAGGTCTTTCATGTTGCTATATGACTTTCAGGTGGATGAAATGGCCAATGGGAATAATTAATTTCACATTTCCATTATGCAGCAGGCATGTCGATTGATAAATTAATAAAATATTTGTTTCAACAAAAGAATCTAAAACGTAAAACATAATTATAGTTATTATTAGCATATGTTGGAATAAAATCAAAAACAGAAAATTGCACTAACCGGCTATTGAATATTATAGGTAATAAATATCTTACAATATAATCAATTATTATATGTCTTTCGTTATGTAAATAATTGGTTAATTCAGAGGTGGGCAAACTACAGCTAGCGGCCGCATGCTGCAACCCGCGAAGCTATTTTATGTTGCCTGTTCGCCTGGGTTAACTATATGAATAGTTAACTGCACAGATATGTTAGTTAGTTATTTTGGTTCGTTAGCTAACAGATGAATAGCCAGAAAGGTTTTGAATTAACTTTATATTTCACTTTCGCAATGCTCATTCGGTAATAAAACGACTCATCCAGTGGTTTTATTATAAACTAAAACACTTTCAGGTTTATTTCTTTTTCACCTATTTAACCTTCGCAAGACTCGTTCAGTAATAAAACCACTTTCCTGATTTTTTATAGTTTCAAAAGAAAAACCGAATAAGAAATCACCACTTTCTTTTTATTGACAAAGTCTATTGGTAGTTCTTGCCGATTTTTGCGTATGAGTCCCCAAATTGCGTTTTTGCATTTCTTGCAGCAATTCAAAGGAAAAGAAAAATCATTCAATACAATAATTCTGCCAATATCTTGGTGCTCTGTTAAATCAATAACTACTGGTTTTCCTAAGTTTTTAACTCGTTCAGTCCCATTATTTTTACCTAAATATGGTTTTATTTTCAAACAATAATCAGTGCTAGCATCACACAAGCACAAAAATTTTATTCTATAATTTACTGGTTTAGAAGGCATATATAGTACAATGTACAACGCCCTCGAAACAATACTAGAGTTTCATCTACATTTACTTATTCACGTGGAATGGTTTCGATAGTTTTCATAACCACATATCAAGCTTTGTTTCCTTACGCCGAGCACTTTGACTACTAGTCAAATCGAACTGGAAAAATTTTGTAGTTTTTTCAAATTCTTGACATAAATTGGTTGATTGACGACCTTCTGATCTTAACTAAGTTCTTCGCACTGATATTTTTTTCTTTATATACTCTGATTAAATAATTACACTTATGAAAATGTTTATTTCTTTCTTGTTTATAACATAATTTGCACCCAGACTAGTAGTTTTTTCATTTTTGCACTCAACAATAATGTCAATCCATGAAAATTTACCACTTTGAGAGCAGTGTTTTTCAATGCCGGCGTCCATAAATCCTCCAGCTGCTCTCATAAGATTTACCGATTGTCTCTTTCCAGTCAAAAATGGTTTCGATTTCTACACATTTTTATATGTTCCACAAGCTCTTTCAATCACTGAATCTATGCATTCTTCTACGTGTTTTTCAATATCATTTGTCATAAAAGATTTTATAATTCATCATCATAGTCATCATTTAAAGTCATTTTCCCATCCATTAAAACTTTTGTAACATTTTCAGCAATAAGAGATTCAATTCATGTTTATACTCGCCATCAGATAAACTCCACTTATTTCGGAGTCGTCATTGTCACCAAAATTTTCAAGAATAGTACCTAAAGCTATTTGAGCTGAACTGAGACAACGAGACTAATATTGAATACTAAATATTGAATACTAAATATTGAATAATATTTATTTCAAATTTTAAAATTATAACAAAATCAAAACAAATCAGTTTCACTTTTGAAATACAAATCCAAATAATAATATTTTTCTTGGTTCAAAAATATCATATAATATTTTAAAACTTGAATTTATTGTTCATTTGTTTATTAATAATAAAGTTCATTTAAAGCAAAATAAATAATTTATTTTAAAAATGATATTTTACACTCTGCCGTCTTCAACGTTATTTGTTTTTTTTGTTGTTTAAAGGGTTTAAAATCAACACTGACATGTATAAAAATATAACAAAATTACAGAATATCATTTATGTAAACAAATAGAAAAAATTACATTTTTTAAAAATGTCAATATAATTTCCTTAAGTCACATTAACAGCTGATAGTTATAAAGTTTGCAAATTTTATATTACTTTTAAATTACTTTTTATCATAGTTAAGTTTTGTTTACAATATATTTAAATTTTAAAACAGAGGACACACTGTGAAAGCTGTTTGTGAATCATTTGAAATGGCTAAAAATGCCGGTGAGAATTTATAAAAATTATATGATTCATTTAGTCTATAATATTTAATGTATTTAATTTTTTAAGTTACGTTTTTATCATGTTTTAATTTCTTAAAAAAATTGAAAACTCAACTTTTAATTTTAATTGCAGGTTTCAAGGTCGTATCCCATATGATGCCTGACTTGCCCAATATTGGCATGGAAAGAGACATTCATCAATTTGTCGTTAGTTTTCATTAAAAACGAAAAAAATTTTGTTTGGGGGAGCATGAAATAAAGAACTTCGACATTAATACATTTTTTTGTTGTGAACTTTTTTAGACTCCGCGTCATGATGGCATCGATTTCTTTTCGGATTTTTTCTTTTCAATTATAAAAATTTAAGAATGAAATTGCTTCATTTTATATTTTATTGTCAATTTCTTTTCTTCTATTTATTTTATTATTATATATTTTATTCTATTTTATTTTTCTTTCTTCGTTTTTGCTTTTATTTATTTGTTTAATTTTGTACTACTGCCTTGCATGCTGTAACAGTTTCTGCGTCTGTCAGACCCTGATTTTTAAAGAATAATAATAAAAAAAACCTTTTTCATTAGGTGTCCCTAAAAAAAGTTACAAGAAAATAAATCTCGTAATCACAGACAAATTTGTGTTAGGCTAATTTGAACTCAATCACCAAATTAGTTGGGCTGCTTCTATCTTACCGGATAAAATTTTTTGCAACTGTCATTGTAGTTAATTTTATATAAAATTATTTGCAACTGTCATTGTAGTTAATTTTATCCTTTTAGGTCACCATATTTTTTTGAGTGTTTTCTTTTTGATCGTAGCGTTTGTAATCTTTTCATATTTTTTTTAATTAATTGGTGTATTTTATTATTGAAGGAGTTTTTTGAAAATCCATTATTTCGTCCCGATGGTATGAAATTATATCCAACGCTAGTGATTCGAGGCACAGGTGATCACATTATTGTTTGTATTTTTTTATGTACTAAATGTATACTTTTTTGAGTGGGTGGTTTGTTGATTGCTTTTCCTTTTTTTTGTATCTTGTGTTGTATGCTATATTTTTACGTGTTGTATCACTCTGATTCATAAATTATAATATTTTTGTATTTATTTAAAATATCCTCCGAGGAACGTTTACGAGTAAATTAAATAAATAAATATTCTTCATAATCCATTGAGCAGCCATCTTGCCACAAAGACTGTTTATCCTTTTCACACGACGTACACATGTATTCATGTGCAAGCGCAAGCACCGCATCATATACGCTGAGTATGATAGCCATTGAGATGTTTGACTCAGCGCGCTTTTGAACCACTGAGCCATCTCGCTGGTCAACATGCAATCCCCATTTACCGACCTCGGAAGGATGGACGGCTGGGTTGGTCGGTGGTCAGCTACTGGGATGAAATTATGTATGCTTACGCATATGATGGTTTTTGAGTTTTGGACAGACAGTATTCAAACCATCGTGTAAGCTAACTCGGTGATCAATTGATTGATTGATTTTGCATAATGTTAGTGTGTTCCAAACTGATGATGGCTATAGAGGTTTAAACTCGTAATGACCATAGGCCTCTGTTGATGTTTTTTACGTTGATTAATTTTCTGAGATTCATTACTATGATGTTGTTAATATCTTAACATTTGTTGTTGAAATTTTGAATTAATACCCGTAAAATGTTAATTATAATGAAGGTTTTTCGCTGAATTAGTTTGATGTTCGTTAGCTTCCAATGAATGAATGAAGAATGAATGAAAAAGACAAATGAAGTCTTTTAAGAGTTAGTTTTTCTGTTATTTGGTCCCGAGGTAGCTCAGTCGGTGTAACTGCCATGTCTTGCGCTGCGGTGGCATGGTTGAAAACTCAGACCATCATGGGCGTTGCTTGAACTTAATACATACTTAATGTGTATGTGTGTCGTGTGAGGGGATAAGATACATTTTTCTAAGAGATAAGAGAGTTTGATTACAAGTGTAGAATAACATGTAACTGAGCTGCATTATAACGTATAAAAAAATGAATTTTTGATAAAAGTAAAATAATTAAAACATGTCCGTCATTAGAGAGAAAAATGTTTTAGATTTGATTAGTTATTCACAATATGCAATTACTTACAATTATCGAATTATAAAGTTAAATGTTTTTATAAAATTGTTTTGGAAATATATATTCAACTGCATTTTAATTTCTGTTTATTCGTTCATAAATTTATTAATTTATCAACATAGGCTTATACGAACTATGGAAAAGTGGTCGATACAAAAGTTATTCTCCCAATTTACTCGTTGATCTAATTGCCAGGATACTAGCTCTGGTGCCGCCATGGACGAGGGTTTACAGAGTTCAAAGGTTTATTTACATTAACTTGATATTGGATGTTGATATGAAAAGAACAAAAATGTACAAAATTTTTGCTATTGTTTTATACATCTCATTAAAGGCTTGGCTCGGTTTGTTGGCAATTAAAAAATGTCAGGGTTTTCTGAAAAATTGGTTTAAACGTTATGTATTTTATTTATTTTATATATTGAAATATGAACTGTTGAAAAAAAATTGCAGTTCTAAAATTCTAAAAAAAATTTAAAGCATCGTTTCTATCATACTTACGTCCTGGGCATGATATAAAATTGCATCCACGCTGCCTTGCGTGCTTTTGAGCAAAAGGCTTATAACTGGTGGTTGTCGTTAGGATGGGTGTCCGGATGTAAAAACTTTTCCCCAAATTATTCCTATGCCATCACAAAGAAAAACAACGGCCCCTATTCCCCAGCCGGCCTTAAGTGATCAAGGGGTGCCAAGAATCCCTGGGAAGTTGGAACACCTCATAACATGTAAACACATAACACGCAAATTGATTTCTTCGCTGTCAAGCAACAATACCGAGGCTATTCAAATATGTCAAAGTTATACTTGGTGAATCGTGTGTCGCCCAACATAGACTCCTTGTGGCAGACCTGGTTATCGAACTGTCAAAACATAAGTCTAAACAAATGCATCGGAGAATCAAAACGTGGAAGCTGAAAAGCAATATTCATCGAGAAAAATTTCAACAGATTGTCGCAACACAGTAAGACCACCAATCGCAAGCCAGCACAGATTGGAGTACATACAAAACCGTTTTGATAAACGCTGCAACTACAGTTGTGGGAAAACATGTACAAAACGTCGGCATGAACGGGACCGAAGAGACCATCACCCAGTTGTGAGCTGTATATTTATTAAAAGAACTCAGCTTTTGCATAAAAAACACTATTTTATATCAAAAAAAGGTCGCCAGCCTAATTTTGGCAACGCTTCCACAAATCTTGGCCCCCTGTCCAAATTTGAAAAAAATTAAACTTTTAAACATTTTTAAAATTTTGTCCCACCCCTTGTCAACGTTGTCTAGATACGCCACTGGCAGTACTAGATGATTTTTGATCGACCAAGAATTTTTTCTGAAGTGTCTTTCCGTCTGATATGGTTAACTATAGATTTTCAATGTTGGTATAGTGGTTTCTACAGAAGAATCAGAATTTATTCGAGATTTTACAAAGGTAAAATTTTTGGTCGATCAAAAATCATCTAGTACTTACTGCCAGTGGCGGATCTAGACATTTATTGTGTTTAAGAAAAATATAATAAAAGTATGTAAACGTTATTTTCTCACCCAAATTGATGTCTATTAATTCATGTTATTAGGTTTTCTTTTCAAATATTGAGTGTTAATTGATTACATTATGCAGAGACATACCAATGCCGTTAGTAAGTTCTGGAGTTGAACGTGGCAACCTCCGAGAGTTAGCCCTAGCACGTATACAAGATTTAGGCAAGTCATCATCATGAATTATTAATTTACTTCGATTGACCTCTATCAACCCCGGCGTTTTGTAAATGGCGTTTTATTAAAATTGTTTTTATTACAGTATCCTTACTTAACTATCTTAGATTATTGTTGTGTTGTGTATATTTATATGGTATTGGTCTAATGGTTAAAGGCACTTTGAACTGCCTCGCAGGGACTAGAGTCAAATAGTGATTCCTGCATATCACATCGTATTAGATGGGCGTAATAAACCTTGAACCTTATTTTATTTATTTATTTACTTACACTTTTAAGTTATTCAAAAAGTCAATAGTTTTTCGTCAATTCATGAGGAATTGCTAAAATGTTAGGTCACAGTTTATGATTAAAACCCTCGAGGTTTTTTTTGCGGTATTTTTTTTGAAAAAACAATAGCTGGTAACACAGTTGCCACAAAAAAAGTAAATTAAATAAAAATCGAAAATGAAATGCTGAAATACCGAAAACTGTATCAGATACTAATAAAAGATAAAAATGCAGTGATATTTCTTATTAATTCTATGTAATAAAGTCTTATTTTTATTATCAACAAATCATGTACTGAAGTCAATGATACAATAAGCAATAAATTGAAATACGGTACAAAATATTGAAAACCTAAACCAAAAACTAATCAAAGCTAAAAATTCAGTTATTTTTTATTGTATATATATATATATGTGTGTATAAAATGTGTGTTATTATATATATATATATATATATGTGTGTATATGTATATATATATATATAGATTTTCGCCGGGCGGCATTCGAATTCCGAACCGCGCCTGCATACGAATATCCACCTAAGCCTTTTTTTGTTGACTTTGTTTACCAGGTTGCAAGTACTAAATTAAACTGAGTAAAGTACAAGTAGATGTATGAAAAATTACGATAACGGTAGATACAGGATTGGCGCTGAAAGAACTGGCTAGCGTACAGTCTGCGGACAAAGACTTACAATATGTCATTGCATGGAAGAAATAAGACCAGCGACCTGAATAGAAATACATATCTGAGTTCTGATCGTCGTTGAAAAGCTACTGGACCCAGTGGGACTTGGCGTTTGAAACATGGGTTGCTTAAATGAAAATCAACAAATGCATCAAAACTCGCATGCAGATTTTAGTAGCTAGAAATAAAATCGCAGAAACCTTTAAAAAAATGCATAGTGACATCTTAGAGTTATAAGGCCTTGGCAGAATATACGTAAGAAATTTTGCTGGATTAACGCTCGAGATGATGTGGAAAGTTTGTGTCGAAAATGTGGTACATATACTGCAGTCCCAAAAAGACATTACGAGGAAAACTGCAAATTTATAATGTTAGTGCGCCTTCGAAAGAATTGCTATCGACATTTCCGGGCCATTTCCTGAATTAAATGATGGAAACCGTTACATTCTGGTTGTAGCGAACTATTTTAGCAAGTAGCCGGAATTTTATCCGATAACAAATCAAGAAGCTTGTACCGTCGCTTAAGAGTTTGTAAGAACTGGATTAGTCGGTATGGTGTTCCCATGAAGCTGCATTCAGACCAAAGTCGAAACTTTGAGTTGCAACTATTTAGGAAGCTGCGTCAATTATTGGGTATAAAGAAGATAAGAACAACTTTTCTCCACCCTCAGTCAGGTGAGATGGTGGAATGTTTTAACCAAACATTAATTGGACATGGCAACCCATGTTTCAAACGCCAAGTCCCACTGGATCTAGTAGCTTTTCAACGACGATCAGAACTTTAGCAAAGGGGGTTGACGAAAACCAAAAAGTACATCGGCATATCGTAGTGTCGGCAACCACAAAACTACTGGGGAGACTTCATCGAAGATTCTTTTTGGATGTACTATAAGAACCCCAGCTGATACAAAGTATGGGTACCACCCGAGGCTCCATAATCAATAACGGATTAGGATCATATGGACGATCTCCGTCAGCGATTAAACAGCATCCACCAACACACGCGCCCGAAGTGGAAAAAGAACAGCGAAGCAACCAAAACCCAATACAATCAAAATGAAAATTAAACGCCAAATCTTCAACGAGTTGGGAAGGATTTTATCAAATCGCCTATTAACGACATCGCCTACTGAAATCAAAAACACAGAAGCCGCGGACGAGAACCAAAATGAAAATTTGGACAGACTAGCTCCATTCTATGCAAACGTTGCAACGAACTCTGATCTGGACGAACAAAACTAAAAGGGTTAATGTTATAACCGTCACAAGTATATTCGCTGGAGGCGCTAGAGTTCGAGAAGGAGCTGGAACATTCCGACAGCGAGATATCTAGTACGTTCGAGAAGTGTTGACAAGACGGGTTTATAAATACTTGATACTTGCAAGGATATTGATTGTTAGTATCGTGTTAATAGTGATTGTTAGTATCGAAAGTGAAATTTTAAACGCTATATTTTTGTTGTGTTGGCGATATACTTTAGTGAATTGTGATTCGGAAAGTGATAATTTTTCAGAACGTTAATTTGATAGTTTGTGAACATTATTTTTATCTTTTAACATTGATAATTGATTTGTAAATAATTAAAACAATAATTTAATAGTTATATTGCCTTATTTTTACCAGGATTAAACGAACCCGTCGTCTGCCGGGCTGTTATAACATTATATACAAATATATTGAACCGCTGGAATGATCAAATTGCGCTATATTATTTGTTAACCTAATTATTGTTATCTTTGCCATGTTTGTCTTATTTGGATTATATATCATTCAATCAATCAATTTTCGTTTTGCGTCCGTTTCTCGAGGTAGGACGTTGTTTTCCTTGCCATCAACTTTTTGCGCCAAATTAGACGATCAGTTGTATCCATTTCATTTAAATTTAGAGCTTTCATGTCTTGCTTGATTGTTTGCGACCAGGACTTCTTTGGACGGCCTTTTGGACTTGTGCCAGGTACTTCAACATCTGCAAGAGGCACTGTTTCCTCTTGTTTGACATGACCAAACCACCTCAGACGGTGTTGCCGGCATTCGTCCTTTATATCATTTAAACCAGAACGACGCAGGATTTCGGTAGATTTGATGTGGTCCTTCAGACTAATTCGTTGCATCCATCGGAGCATTTTCATGTCGGTTCGTTGAAGTTGTTGTTCCAGTTTGGTTGTCATTGGCCATGTTTCTGCATCATATAATAACACCGGACGTATAACAGATTTATAAAGTCTTGATCTTAGTGGTAGTGGGATGTCACGCCGCATCAATATAGAGGCAAGGAGATGCCATTTATTCCAGGCTGCACGTATGGCAGCTTCAGCTGTTCCAGTAAAATCCAGAACATCCCCTAGATATTGAAACGATGTGACTTTCTCTACCTTAATGGCTTCAAAAACATTGCTATTTCGAATTTGTTGTTGTGGATTGGTGCAAGCAGGACAAACAAAATTGGACTCTTTAGATAAAGTACCAATTATTTTTGAACAACGTTTGTGACACCACTGGTTACACTGCTGACACTTGATTGAATTGTTACCTACACCAGCTTTACAAACTGAACAGGGCCATCGTCCAGTAGCTGTGGATTGGATTGGTTCACTCACCAGTGTTCATTGCATTGGTTTTGCTGATGTTGACTTTGAATCCATGATCGGCGAGTCTGGTGTTCCAATCTTCAAACATCTGTGCTGCATTCTGCTCAGACCTGGCTGTTAAAACGATATCATCAGCATATACTAGATTCCAAATGTCACCAGTGCGTATCGGTTTTGTGATTTTTTACATCACAGTTATAAATAACAGTGGACTGAGATCGAGCCTTAATGAACTCCAAATGCATCTGTGTTTCCAACCGTTGTGCTTCCATCACAAGTCGAACAAGATAGTGGAATGAGTTGTCGACGTAGACTCCACCTGATTGCTTCACGGGGAACTCAATCAAATGCTTTTTCAATGTCTACAAAAATGTTTGATAGTTGTTGATGCTTTGCTCTTGCAGTTGCCGAAGAATGTGAATTGCATCAATTGTTGATCTCCCCGCAAATTGATATCGATTGGAAATTGATATTTATTGATACTTATTTGGATTATAAAGGATTGTAAAAAGAAACCTATATAAGATCCTGCGGAGACAGGTTCTATTACTGTTGGCATTCAAATAAACGTTCTACAATGGAAATGCGGTATGGCCTGAAAAGAAATAACGCAGGTATTAAGAGTAAAATCCTAGTCTGGTTGTACAACCTACGGCGTAGAAAATGAATGCCCGGTGAAACTTCCAAGAAATTGGAAAAGTCGGTACAAATTCACTAACAAGATAAATGATGTGATATTGTTTCTATTACATGGATCATCGAAGAAAATGGACAAAAATGAAAGTTGTCCTTTTGAATAGATTAATATCTATTTACCGAAATAAAGTGACGCCTACTAACAGGCTAAGATCGGTGTAATGTTATAACCGCCGGAGTGATCAAATTGCGCTATATTGTTTGTTATCTTAATTATTGTTATCTTTGCTATATTCGTAATCTTTGGATTATAAAGGACCGTAAAAGAATGTCTGTATAAAATCCTGCATAGACACAGGTTTTCAGTCAGATTTTGAGGTTTGAAGCGTAGTCGTAAATATAGTTACCTGGATTAGTTTATTCTTTTACGGTCCTTTATAATCCAAAGATAACAATAATTAAGATAACAAATAATATAGCGCAATTTGATCATTCCGGCGGTTATAACATTACACCCATCTTACACTGCTTAGGCATTCAAATGAACGTTCAACATAGTTTGCGTTTGAATGGTTGGTAATTGTTAATTAATTGGTTGGTAAATTGATTGATTAGTTTGTTGGTTAGTTGATTAATTGGTTAATTGATTGATTGATTAGCTAGTTGATTAATTGGCTGGTAGATTGATTGATTAGTTGGTTGATTGATTGATTGATTAATTAGTTGCTAGATTGATTAGTTGGTTGATTGACTAGTTAGTTAGTTGATTGATTGAGTAATTAGTTGATTGATTAGCTAATTAATCAATTAGTTGCTAGAATCAATCAACCAACTGATTGACTAGTTAGTTAGTTGATTGATTGAGTAATTAGTTGATTGATTAGCTGGTTGGTTAGCCACACTCGGTTGGTCGGTTGATTGACGGTAGATAATGTGAAAGTTCGATACTATTGAAAATGACATCAAAACAATTGAAATATTGAAAATATGTTTAACTAGCCACTATTTATAATTAAAGGTAGCAGATGTCGAGACATAAGAACTCGAGAAGTAGGCATACAAGAAATACACAGCAAAGTCAAACCATACGAGGTTTAGAATTTTATTGAAAACTGTTTAGGTTTTATTTTTTTTCAAACCTTTACTTCAGACTGAGTTGATTCGTAGAGATTATGTGGCAAATGGCGGTTGGGAAACATTCTTAGCATACGAAGATCCTCATCAAGACATTCTGATCGGTTTATTGCGACTTAGAAAGTGTTCAAATACTTTCAGGTAGAAAATTTTTGTTTCCTAGATGTCCAATTGCAATTCAATATAGGTAATGAAATATAACCGAAATAATGAAATTTTTTAAAGTTATAATAAAAATTAAGGTGCTGTCAGAGTGTCATCCAACTCTGGCTGTTCAAAAAATTCTAACTTCCACTTTTTTTTAGTCATTATTGCAGCTCTGAACAACTTACAATGTTACATGTTATCTGTAACCTTTTATTATGTTTTTCATATCTTCATTCATTGATTTGAAGCAGCCATCTTTGCCTAAAAGCCGTTTATCCTTTTCACAAGCACCATATACGCTGAGTATATGATAGCCCTTGAGATGTTTGACTGAGCGTGAGTCATCTCGCCGGCCAACATGCGACAACTTACGTCGTCTCCCCATTTACCAATATTGGAAGAATAGAGGGTTTGGTTGGCCGGGGGTCGGCTACTCGAATAGACCTGCAGGATATGAACCCTGTTCGTTGGAGTAGTAGACGGACATACTAACTACTCGGCCACGAGACCCACTCCGAGGCTCTTCAAAATATTTCGACTTTCACTTTTGCATCATAATTTTACCTTGTTATACCTACTAAAAACATTTTAAAAAACTTAAAATTAGGCAATGCAATCTTTTTTCTAAGTAAAATTACTTCATATTTATGCTTAAAAACATACTGGAAAAAAAATTTTCTGATTTTATTATATTTTATTTACTGATTAATAGATCTTATCGCAATTTACACTAGTATGCGGTGAAATACTTTCAACAGCTAAGTGAATGTGTAATTGAATGTTTATTACAGGATTTCACATGGAAATTTTGTCTACTTAGACGATTAGTTGTTTTGGACCAGGCTTACATTAGGGACGTAGGAAAGTTAGACCTATATAATTGATTGACGACATCACGAATACTCTACTATCTGTTCGTTTTTGTTCTCTGCTGAACTTGATAGTGACCGTAAAATGACAGATCATATCGAGCTTGTCCCAATTTATTCTAGTTCTATTAGGGCTATGTAAAATTCAGGCCACATTCAACAGCTAAGTTAATGTGTAATTGAATGTTTATTACGAGATTTCACATGAATAGCAGATTATTTGCAAAAAGGTGATCTACTTGGAAAATGTTTACTCTAATGCGAGCATATCCAAATAAAATAGTTAGCCAGTTCCAAAAGATTAAACATTGGTTATATAGTTATCTTTGTTTTGTGAATAAACAACATGACTCAGTTTCTGAGCAGTTGAAAAAATAATTTTGTGATGCTCCTTTCTTTACTAGCATATCCAACCCGAGGCAAAACATTTGTGCTGAATAAAGCTTCCAGCATTTGTTGGAATGGTTGGTAAAGAGAAAAAGGTTTTTGAGCCAAAAGAAATGTGCAACCAGAAAGAAATTGCTAAGAATTGTCAGCGCTAATAAGCATTTTTACAAGTATCTTTATGGGCAAAATTTTTTTCTCAAACCGATCATGCAGCACTGAAGTGACGTGACTACTTTTAATTTTGGAACAACTAAGGAAAAGACCCCATTGAAAATTCTTTTCGTCATTACACTAAAGATTTTAGCAGTTGAAAATGACATGAACCAATAAAGGAATATGTGGGCAGATTTTTTCAGCTATTACACTGTAGCTACCACTGAATAAAAAGAAAGAGCGTAGGAGCGACAAACATGGCATGGCTCGAAAGTTAAATCGTTTAAAAGAGTAAGGAGAATTGGCTACACGACCATGTTTATAACTAGATAACAAAAACAACCACATTATAATATTTATTCTAATCAACAGTTAAGAAAAGAAGAATGCTATAGATTACTTGCTAAATGTGGATGAAAACAGATTCTGAAAGAAACGTTCACTTTTCACTTGTCATCAAAAAAAATAATTCCCGAAATATTTTAGAGAACATGACAAGTATTTAAAGTATTGCTATAACCGACCCCGTGAACTTCTAGGGTATGGTTATTTCTCTTTACGTGGATTCTTGATTCCTAAACAGACCTATTTTAGATGACTTTATTAGAAAGAAAACAGAGCTGGCAATTGCCGTAATCGATCACTCGTCGTTCGATCGTTAAAATCGTTAGAATACAAAACAATAACTAATCAACAGTTAAATCACAAGATAAAACTAATCGTCAATAATTAAGCTCTTCTCGTCAGATGTTTCTTGACCGTAAATCCTAAGTATCCACTTCTCGGAAGATTATCGTAATTCACTCTCAGACCGCGTGTAGAATTCTTCGCGACAAACTTCTCCTTGGTCGTTATCGCTAATTTGTTTGCAGTACGCACACAAAATATTTCTGCGATAATAGGACTGCCTGAAACTTCTTCTGACTTTTTCGTAATTCTCGTCGCTCCTTGTTATTTCGTGCACTTCTCTCTCTAATCTCTTTCCTCTTTTCTCTCCCTCTCTTATCGTTCTTGTTGTCGGTCTATTTATACCTCGCTTTCTTTTACAATGCATCGACATTTTACAATACGGTTTTCATTGGCTCCGCCTCTTAATTAAATTATCAAGCGCTTCACTTAAATTTCTAGTTACCAATTCTTATCTCGCCTTCACGTCTGTAACAGTATTAAAGACAAAGTACATCTTCATTATCTATCAAGAAACTTTGGCTTAGATGGTGAAATGTGTAAAAAGTCATGTAGAAATTGCTTGGAGATTACTTTTTTACCAGGCAAATTTATAGCTAAAAATACTTTAGTTATCTGTCGTTTTACTTTGTTTTGCACTATCAATGAAACAATGAATTCAATGAATTGCTTGGAGATTACTTTTTTACCAGGCAAATTTATAGCTAAAAATACTTTAGTTATCTGTCGTTTTACTTTGTTTTGCACTATCAATGAAACAGTTCTGTTGCGTTTTATTTAAAAATTTGGTTTTCTTTTCAGTTTAGAGTTTATATTGCATTTTCAGTGTCAATGCACATTTTCATATTTTTTGCTTCCTTTGCTTTATACTGAATATAATTAATTGTACATGTTGTCTTATAGGATTTCCTGCGAAAATTCACTTTCGTGAAATAATATTTGATTATGTTGAACTTTTTACTAATTTAGAACCGAATTGAAAGAATCGTGTTCTTTAGTGAGAGAGTTACATGTTTACGGAAGCGTGGTGCCAGTTAATTTGAGAGACTCTACTAAGTTTCAACATCAGGTTGGGCTTATATTGGTATACAAAACTTTGTTTGATTGATGTTGAATTTTGTGTCATTTTTTTAGGGATTCGGAATGTTGTTGATGGAAGAAGCTGAACGGATTGCAGTAAATGAGCATGGATCATCAAAAATTGCTGTCATATCTGGTTTGTTTTTTATCAAGCATTGTTAGCAGTCAGGTTTTAGCTGAAAAATATCTAGTCGGAGTATATAGTCGGATTTTTTTAAGGGGCCGAATTCGAATATATTTCAAGACTTCGACCCATTAAAAAATAAAAGTTCAGATTCTGACTCTAGATTTCGACTCCAAGAAATTTTTTTAAAATTTTGCATCATTATTTTACATAAATATCACTGCTAATTAAAAATTACTCTAAAAACACTAAATATCAGTCGATATAATTATTTTCTTTGTAAAATTACTTTATACAGTGAGTCCCCGGACAACGAACTTAAGTCCGTTATGCGAAAAGTCCGTCCTGCCCATAGACTTATATGTAAATCAAAATAATTGGTTCCGCGCTAAATCTTTTTGAGACATTTCGCTTAACTTCGTTAACCCCTCTTACAGCAGCAGACTACACGTCCTTCCGCGGTGGCAGCCATGCACGCAATATTCGCTTATTCGCGCGATTCCCTCGTGCGAAAAAAGTTCGGTGTGCGGGGTTGAGAAAGGGAAAGCTAACCATTTGAGAGGCTGTTCCATACATCTACTACTTTCTGTGAAATAAACTTCCTGATGTCGTAGCGCAATTTGTGCTTGTTGTTTTTGCATCTAGTTTTACTAGACAGGCTCGGAGATCAGGTGAAACCTCCGCATCATACATGTCGTGCAATATTTTACTTCTATCATATCTCCCCTATATCTAGGATATTTTAATGTTGGCAGTTTCAAGAGCTTCACCCTTCTCACATTAAAGTTTTTGATCAATCACAACTAACTTTGTTGCCCTTTTTTGTACCTTCTCTGTCGCATCAATCAAATTTTACTTGAGATTATTTTTTATTGGAACCGGTATGTTGAGATATTGATAATTAATAGAGATAAAATTAATAGAGATAATCAATTACTAATAAACAAAACCAAAAAGTTAAACTGAAATAAATTTTTTTTTCACTTTATTTTTAAGTAATTAACATTGAAAGCACAGATATAATTCAATGTGACAAAAAATCTTTTAATTAAATTTTTTTTCCGTTTATTTTTTAGCAATTAACATTGAAAGCACAGATATAATTCAATGGGACAAAAAATCCTTTAATTAAATTTTTTTTCACTTTATTTTTAAGCAATTAACATTGAAAGCACAGTTATAATTCAATGTGACAAATTGACTTTGAAAACCTTATTGACTGGCTTGCATTTTACTATTGCAGATTGGCATCCTCCGTGAATACTTGATCTTGTCAGTCTCATTTGCGAAATTTTGTACTTCATTAGCAACCATAGCATTTAACTTGACATATTTCAACCTGAACATTGGGGAGTGTAAGTTTGTTGCAAGCAATATCTTTTTACAGACTATCAAGCAAAAACCATGCATTTGGATGACTTCAGGCGTTGAGGGAATCGTGAAATCCTTCACAACAACTGGTAGTTTTAGGTGATCCATCTGCTGCAGCATCAAACTGGTTCCAAAAAGTAACGGAACGATAGATTTTTTCCAGCTGGACCCTCAACGCATGTAGTGTTCAAATAATTGAGGATGTTATTGTAAGTATCTTCATCAGGAAACTCTGGAACAAGCAGTCAATAAATGTTGACTACCTCATTTGGTGGAACATAGGAAAGAGCTGCTAAAGATTTGATCTTGACTTTGACATCATGATTGGCATCAAACTGGGTTTTCAAACCAACTTGTGCTACCTTTCTGGTAAGACTTTGACTGGTAAGTGGAAGTAACCTGAAAGGCATCCTCTGCTGCTAATTTACATGCCTTTTCAAAATCAATGAGGATTCTCTGTGGAGACAGGTTTGTGAGAAGCTGTTTTAGAATATCAAACATCCTTCTATATGCCTCTTGATTTTTTCGCAGCAAAAGGAGGTAAAGGCAAGGTGGATATGAATTTCCAATCTCGGTATGCCATGTGTACAACTGGTAAAACATATTGGACACCTTGTCAAAAGTACCATCACCGAATATTGCGTCCTTGCTGAGCTCCATAAGCAGTTCTCTATCTCCAATCATCAAAATTCTTTCTGGGTCATCCTCGCCAGAATCATGAAGTATCATGTCTGGTATTGGAAACTCGGCTGTGGTAGGATTGGGAGTGTGAGTGCCCACTTCGACTCTGCACGGTGTTCGTCTAATAGAAGTTTGCTTTGGCATGTGTGCAAGAACCTCTGTACTCAAATTCATTTCTGATAGGACAGTTCCTATTGCATTCTTTGGGTTGGAACCAATTCCACTCATTGCATCCTTCATTTTACTAAGGGCAATATAGACTTTGGCTTTTTGGGGACATGATGCATGAGAGTGGCATCATTAAGGATCTCGACATTTCTCACCCTCATGGATGCATGGCACTTTTCAGCAGCATGTTGTCTGCATCTCCATCTGTAGGGGTCAGTTTTTACTTTGTGCTCAATATATTCAAACTCAAAGTAGCTGATAACCGGCCTATTTTTTTGAGTTTTTAGATACTCCATTTCAGAATAAGATTCTAAAAAAGAGTAAATCAACAAGATAGCAAATGGGAATGAAAATTTTGATGAAAAATAAAAGGTACTTACTAGTACGCAATGTTGTTCGGTAAGGAATTGTTATGTAACGTAACGAATACTACTCACTGATTACTTTTACTCGATTACCAAAAAGTACTCAATATTCATGAATACATTTTTATAAATAAATCGATTACTTTTTCGAATCTGAGTACATTTATAAAGATGTACATAAAAATGAGTTTTGACACGTCTTGGCCAAACCACGCATTTATCTAATATTTTATTTTTGAGAGAAAAAAGATGAAAACTACCATTTTCACTCTTCTATTTTGAAGCTGGCATTTTTTTTCTTTTCTAATAAATTGCTTGACTTTCTAGTTTTGTGTGTGGTTTTGGTTTCGTAGATAGATCACGTGCAAAGAGGGCAGGATTCGAAATTGTAACCAATTACTTTTAAAAAATGTTCGGATTACTCGATTACCAAAAAGTAATCGGATTGAACATCACTAGTTAGGAAGAGTATGTAACGAAGTATTGTAACGAAGAACTCGCCAAGTACTTTTTACTGATTACCCAATTGTCCATTACCCAATTGTCTCGTTACCCAATTGTCTCGTTACCAAATTGTCTCGTTACCAAATTGTCTCGTTACCCAATTGTCCATTACCCAATTGTCAATTACCTAATTGTCCTAGAACCGATTGAAACGATAAAATTGAAGACGACGGCGGAAGCAGTTAGAGATTTTAAAGTACCAAGGCTCGTACGGCAGAGCTCCATCAAAAATGTGCCGAAACAAGACTTCCATCTTCAAAGGACGTTCTAGTTCCCGGTATAAATAACAATTCATCAGGTAAAGACATAAGAGACGACCTATAATATGTTGGTAAATCTAACAGACCTAGAAGCGGGCTTTAAATAATCAGGACTACTAAAACATTTTTACCACATTTTAAAATATGATTTGTTTTCTAACGGGAAGTCAGACTTCAGTCGTTCAGAAATGTGATCAAACTTCCTTAGTCTGTAAGCAGAATTTTGAATTTACAGAATAGATTGAACCACTTTCAGAATGACTGAGTAAATTACATTTACAACGGTCTAAACGTGTCAAAATGAAAGCCACAGTCAGTCGCCGAACCACATCATTAGTCAAATACCTTTAATTTTAAATACCTAAGATGAAAAACAGCAGATTTAATATAAATACCAAACAATTTAAAAGATAATTCATATCAAAAACCTTTAAATTTCTACCTACATCAGAGACACTGATGCTGTAAACTTTAACGCTCGTTACTACTAACAGCATTGTTGTAAACTTCAACGTTCGAATTCAATAATTTATATTTTCAACACCAGTATGTTAGCTTCCGAAGATCGTCAAGTTATCGTTATTCCATAGGTTCACAATTTCCTATAGATGAACACAACTGCTTCAAACTTGGTTGAACGTTTATTGAGGGCCAACAGTAATAGAAACACTAAACTAATTCAAGTTTTTAGCCTCGATGACAAATAGCGAAGATATCAAATATAACATGATAATAATAATTATGTAGCGTAATTCCATCATTCCGGCGGAATACAATATATTTAATGATTTTACAACAGACATTAAATCAGAAACACGCCTTAGGGTTTATTCATTCATTATATTAACTTAATTTAATATTGACAAAAAACCTCGCTTTTAAACGTTTGCACTCTGAAAATAGTCACGCCACATTTCAGCGTTGTGTTAACAATTATCAACTACCTCTGTTATTAGAATTAAATTTTGAAAACCATAAGAATTGCAGTAATTACAGACAATCGGTTTCAATTAATTTGAGTAATTTTTGGTATAATGTTTTGAATGAAGAGACATTCAGTTCCAATTGAAGTTTTGAATGAATAGTCATCCAGTTCCAATTAATCTGAAAAATTTGTGATTTAATAAAGTTTCGCTTTTTACACTTTATTGCAAAATAAAGATATATTTGAAAATTCTTAACAATTTTTTAGTTTATACTCAACTGATAATTGTTTGAATTTCAATTATTTTCTATTTATATTTAATCAGGTGTGGGGACGAGAAATTATTATCGAAAAATCGGTTATGAATTGGAAGGGCCTTACATGACCAAATTATTATCTTTTTCATAATCTCTCGTTGGTGAACATTCAACAATTATAATAAATTAGTTTTGGCTAAGTTGTCCTAGAGAAATATTGGTCAATAAACTTCGATATATTATAGGTTTATATTTATTATATTATATAATTATATAATACATCTTGTATATTATATAATATATAAGATATATTTAATATAATTTATACATACATACATATATAAATATCTAATATATATACAAGAACTTTTTTTATAGAATAATAAAATACAAAAAAACTGTTTTTCACGGTTTTGCGTTAATCAATCGTTCTGTGCTTTACGTTCTTATGTTGCGTAGTGATGTTACTTAATTATGTTTAAATGTGGTCGAAACACTTGGGTTTATGGGTGGTTTTGTCACCGTTAATCTGAAAAATTTGTGATTTAATAAAATTTCGCTTTTTACACTTTATTGCAAAATAACCTTTTAATAAATGAACAACAAACAAAAAATGGCAATTGTTAGGTCAGTAAATTATGGCAGTGGCCAAGATATATAGTTAAATATTGATACGAATTTTGTCGAATTTTCACCTTGTGTGTAAATGTTCAGTTTTGCTAAGTTTAAGCGTTGTTTTGTTTAAGCGTGTTTGGTGGATTGTAAATTTTTGAATTATCTAAAACACTTTTTTTTAGTTTTTTGAAATTTTGCCATTGTTTTATTAACTTTTTTGTTTTGATAAAATTTTCTATATTGGTGTACTTTTTTGTAAGTTTTAAAAATTATTTTAATTAACCTATCCTATTATTAACCTGAGAGCCAGTTTTTTAAATATTTTCAATGGATTAACTTCTTATCTGACAATGAAGAAATTAAATGGACACATATGTTGAAAATATTTATTATAATATTTCAATTCTTAAATTTATTTTTGAAGTTCGATCGTAACACAATAAGGCTGCAATGACATTGGCAAAAACTGTTAATGTTGCTGACAATTAGTAAAGTAGTAGAACAGTTTTTAGAGTTTGAGGAATGTGACCAGTTTGCAACTTTGCATCCTATGAGGAGTGACTCAATCCTGCAATCGCCAGCTAAAGAAAATGAATTGAAATCTTTCCTTGAAGTGATGAAGTGGAAAAAAAGGCTTCGGGTCAGGGTGTTTGCTAAAAAGATGTATTCTAATCTTGCTGACAAAAATTTTCCGTAACAGCGATCTTTTTAAGTGGTAAAAACATGAATATAAAATTGAAATATTTGAATGAACAAAATGCAAGACCTATTTTTCTTAAGCCAAAATGGCCCTTTAGAATTTTGGAAAAATGTTTGTTTTTTACCATCTAAATGCTGTTCAATATCAAATTTTCCTTTGTTCATAACACTTCCGATAAATTATTTTGGTTAATTATCTTCATAAATTTATTTTTAAGTTTTTCATTGAAAAAACATTTTCTCTTTGGCATTTTAAAAAAGTTAATATAAACAAAAAATATTAAAATTGTTCTCGTTAAATTTGGACTAAAATAAGCTAGCTTTATCAAAAAGCAAACATGCAACAAATAATGAATAAAATTAAAATTATAGAATTTTTTCCAAAATCTCTATAGAAACAAACTCGGGGTTTACTCACGTTTGCCACTTCTGCAAAAAAAGCGCTGTACAATTTCATAGTACAATTTTAATTTTTAGATTACTGACATTTTTCAGAATAAATTTTTACAAATGAAAACACTTAATTTAAAAATTAATAAGATTATATATTCATTCTGGATAACATTAAAAAAAGGACAAAAGAGAACATTTGCAAAAAAAGAAAGAGTAAAAAAATTCAATGTAAAAAAGGACATTTCCTCTTTTTAAGAGATGTTATGTTAACAAATACGCAATAAAATTTTATACTTTTCATAAAAAAATAATGCAACAGGGTTAAAATATATAATTTCACAATATAACCTAACTTAACGTATCTTAACAAGGCATAACGAAGATTTTCATCGTGATCCAAGAAGACTGATTTCCTGACAGGACCACTGTGGGATTTCAAAATCATATTTTTGCTAAGTGTGCATTGATATTATTAGTTGTTACTGCGCATATTATTTCATCAATTTATGTTATCATAGATAAACAATCAAAAAATATACAATACATGATTATGTACACAATTTATTTATATATCGAAAATGAAGGATCGAAAATTAATGAGGAAACAAAAAGCCTTCAAACAATATGTGCTCATGATTGTACCCTGTAAAATTGTTGAAATAGGTACAGTTCATGCGCAATTCTGTCTCTTTCTTCAAAAAACTCGTTTCGACTGAATTCCCACTCCAAACCGTGTAAAATTTCATTGCTGTAACCAACACGGTAAACTTCAGGCGTACGAATCAATTCTAACTTATTTGATGTTTAGTAGCTCCTGGAGGTACGTTCAGTTGTTGCTTTGATCCTCCAGCATTTTTTTTATCATCATGGTCTTGTCGTGTCTGATGATTATTTCCATCTTGTAATGGTAATTTTTAACGATGCTTTTGAAGGGATATAGTAGTACTTTTGTCAGATGGCTTGTCATTACTGATCTGTGTTTCTTCACCAGATTGCTTCTTTTCCTTAGCATACGCATGATTCCACGCAGGTCAAAACGCAAAGCGAGGATCTCTGCGTTTGAACGCAGTAACCGTACGTAAAGTAAAGTATACAAAGTTTTATTCTTCCCATCATAGCAATTTCAAATACTTTATCTTTTTATAAAATTTTCGTTATCTTACATTTATAAAAACAAAAGTTAATAAGTATACAATTAAATAAAAAATGAAAGTATAGAATTCAATTTACTCGAAAACTACTACTACCACCATTTTGATACTTAGACTTCTATTGCTTCTTTCACTACTGTTTTTGATGTTTCAGTTAGTACTAGTACAACCGTCACTGTTACTACTGCTGCAGCAACCACCACTACTATGATATATAATAAATAATATACTATAAATAATATACTAACACTAATATATAATAAATATATATTAGTGTTAGCTGCCGCATTATTTGTTGTTGATATTAATTTTGTTTTTCATTGTTCATAACAAAGAAAACTATTTCTGACAAAACCATTTTCAATATTTTTTTTTTGTAGAAAATATATTTACTACGACAACGATAATGTACAACAATAATGTACACACCATGGAATTATATAATTCAATGGTACACACTTATATACGATGTAAAATTAAGGCGATGGAAGAACATAAAATTAAGATAACGCGTTAAAAATATCATAAGTAACAGAAATTTTTATTTAAATAAAAGTTTCAAAAAGTTAATAATTAAAAGCAATATTAGTGGAAAATCAGACGGTATATTATCATCCTGTTGTTGTGGTAGCTGTTGAAGTATTATTAGTTGCTTTAGTTGTGCTCGTTGTCGTAATAATCAGCGGTTAGGTTCAAGGAGCGGTTGTTGATCTAATAGTGATATTTCTTGCGTTTGTACTGGTTAGGGTAATTGTTGCTGTAGTTGTAGAATTATTGTTAGTGTTGTTGATCAAACTGTAATTGTTGCTGTAATTGTTGTAGCAGTTGTTGTGGCTGTAGAAGTTGCTGCCGTTGTTGATCCGTTGTTCATAAAGTTACTGCTCCTGCGACTTAAACTATTGTTATTTCCAGATGCATTGTTTACTTCCGCGCACCCTTGTAGTTTCCTTTCCTTTACCCATCTGTATTGAAACCAGTAGCGAACCTGATTGATATCCAGATTTCCTATCTCTTTGACTCGTTTTAAAAAAATTGTTCTTAGCAAACTCATTTTCTAATTTTTTTTATCTGCCCCGGACTGTGTGCGGTTCTGTGGTGTTCTTTTGTTCTTCTCCTTCCATTCTTAGGATCTGAATTTTTTGCCGTTTGTATCGGTTGCCGGATAAAAGATGTCTGTGGACTTGGCTGTTGTAGCAGTGTTAGTTGTGACTGTTGTGATGGTTGCTGCAGTAGCAGTCGTTGTTGTGGTGATGGTTGTGGTAGAAACCTTGACAAACCAAAAACTATGATCACCGGTGGTACCGCTGAGCCTGTGGTTTCTGGTCATTGGCCACGTTCGGTGTGTGGGGCTGGAGTTGGAAGCAACTCGTTCAAATGCCTATAATGTCAGCAGTACAGAGAATTACCGGCTCACCGAGGAAAGTGACTGATTTCGTATGCCCCGCCTGCATCAATCCACGACAACGGAGTCCAGATAATGATGCGATTACCGGAACCGAAACTGTTACTTCATTTCATTATTTTGGAGATATTCTGGATTGTACTAGAACAGCTGACGCCGCCGTTCGTGGACGCATACGTGCGGCTGATGGCACCTTCTTGCCTCGGTGCTGATGCGGCGTAGCATTCCCCTACCGCTGCGCTCAGAACTATACAGCACAGCTATACGTTCTGTTCTAATGTATGGTGCAGAGACGTGACCGATGACAACAAAACTCGAACAGCAGCTTCACCAAACTGACATGAAGATAATTCACGTTAAAACATCCCCCTCTGGCCCCATGATTTTAAAAAGTACCGTTCTTCTAAAAAGCATTCCATTTTTTAAGCTCCGAGTAGTTATTATAACAAATCGACAATATTTTAAAATATTTTTTTAAACACTAAATATTTTATGATTGATCAAGTTTAAAAATTGTTGTTTGAAAGATCTTGTTAATGTTTTATTGCGAACTTATATTCGCGTATTAAAAGTAATTCCAAATTTAATAAACTTCGTTATTTTAATGTCAATGAGAATACAACATGACGATTTGCAAACAATAGTAAAACAAAAAAGCCGATTGAACTGCTAGTATCTTTTACTGCCGAAAAAATGATTGATTATTTGAATCCAGAGATGTGTTGCCGCTAGCAATAACATTGACAGGTGAATTCAACATCATTAAACTTTCTTGAACCTCACGAACAATCTAAAAAAAGTTTAAACTTAATGAGCTATTGAATTAATAGTTTTAATTTAAAGTAAGTACCTTGACCCGATTTATCATAATGGCTAAATCATTAGGATCAATTGAAGTCGTTGAAAACCAGACTGGACTTTCCGGAACACAAGAGGGTTCAGGCAACAAATAAAACAAGTCGTTTCTATGCTTTATTGATTCTGGGCTATAAAATTAACATTTTATGCAAGTTATGGTAAATGACATTAATAAGAAAAAAGTAGAAAAGTGTACCTGAAGTTAAATAAAAATATTTCAAAGTTTAGAATAATATGAATAAATGATTTAGAAATTATAAAATTTAGTAGATTTAACAATTCTTTCAAATTTGGGCCACTTGTTGGACTAAAAACCTTCTGGTTTGCCACCATGTTATGACTTGGGAGTGAAACAAGTCGTACATTTCACTTTCCGCTAAACTGACAACAATCTTGAAACTTTTTGAATACAAGACTATTATCGATTAAAATAAAAGACTATTAGTAGCACCTTCTAGCATTGCTCAAAAGTAAAATAGTTATACAATTTATATAAGCACGTACTCGTACATGCACGAGGATTACTCGAGTTTACTTAGCAGACTTATACTCGAAATTTTGGCAAGGTTGTACTTCATTCAGTTCAGCGGTGGATTTGTGAGCGTTTTTATGTATTAAAAACTAGTGAAAGTGGTTGTTTTAACGAAAAAATTGACACCACTAAAAATGTTGCCATTGAAAAATTATTCGAATCAACTTTTCCAATCAAAATTCAAATTCCCCCCAGTCGTCAACTAATTTCTGAAATTTTTTTTAGAGTTCTTCCACTGACAATTTTTTGAAAATCCACACCGGCCGTCTAATATTTTAAAAATCTTGACGCCCCGTCAAAGTTGTATCTAGACAACTTTGTTAAATAAATAAACAGAAACAACCTTCACTGCTTCCGTTTATTTATAAAAGGTCATTAGAATAATGATGTAATGATAATTTCTGTAATGATGCATAATTAAAAAAAATTTTTAAGTTGCAAATGAGTAAAACAATTCTTCGGCTTTCAAAATTGAATTCAGAAAGAAATGAAATTTTACAAAAATAATTAATTTAAAGTGTAATGTTACTTGCATATTTAATTTTACTCAAAATTAAAACATTTAAAAAACGGGGTTTTAATATTTATAAACATGTCCAAAAATGCAAATTTTCACTGGGTCAACAAAAGGGGCGATCAAAGCAGAAATTACAAAAAATAATAATTGTTGAAAAATTTTATTTTGTTCATTTATTATGCCGAATTTAGAATAATCTAGATCAAACCATTTTTCCAACATGTTGTTAATTTTTATTGTTTTTCAATAAACTGTTGCGAATTAATACCAATACCTTGAGACCAGCATTTACTGAGCAAGGGTTTATAATTGATTTTATAGTCGAAACAACCATTTAAGACATCTTAATAAAACAATCCATTGTCAACCAAAGTTTATAGACTCAATTTGAAACTTGATCACAGAATCTTAGAATAAATAAGAAAAAATGTTGTGAATTAATAAAACCTAACCATTTTGAAAGATAGAATTCATACAATTTAACAGGACATCTCAAGGGGTTTTCAATATTTTCTAACTGTTCATATGGTAAATTAGGATCAATTTTGCTCTTTTTTTCAACAGCTGTTAAAACAAAAATATTTTAAATATATAAATATTTATTTCTAGGACATTTATAGTAATATTTTCATTCATATACGTGGTCAACATCAGAAAATAGCGTGATATTATTATTAATAGCTCCATTAACATAAACGCAAGTGAAAAGGTGTTATAATTGGTTGATAAATTAAAGAAATTAAATATAGAAAAACACTGCAAAACGTTGTATGACGCCGCCTCGAAATTCTATTCTATTCTGATAAAACATCATTTTTGAAAAAAAGATTCTACATGTGTATAAGGCTCACCCCAAACTTCATGTCATCCTCAAGTAGAAACGAGCGCACTACACGTAAAAATTAATTAACTCATAAATGTTGAAATAGTAATAATAACAATGTCATTTTATATAGCGCCTGAGGCCCATTACCATTATTACAACAAACACACGGTGCATAAATGCACGTGAATCAACCAATCACACACTTTTTGCATGTGACAGGCGTGGATCTTTTTTTGCATTTGAACCTGGACACTGCATCAACAACGCCAGGCACCTTAGCCATTACATCATCCCGCCGCTGAAATTTGTCTATAACAAGCAGACACATTTCAACAACAACAGAAGAGAGGATAAGGCTAAAATTTTCAACAAAATTATGACAATATGTATTATCATGATTTATAGAAAACTTTTTTAAAAAGACATAGAACGTGAAAAGGTGTTATAATTGGTTGATAAATTAAAGAAATTAAATATAGAAAAACACTGCAAAACGTTGTATGACGCCGCCTCGAAATTCTATTCTATTCTGATAAAACATCATTTTTGAAAAAAAGATTCTACATGTGTATAAGGCTCACCCCAAACTTCATGTCATCCTCAAGTAGAAACGAGCGCACTACACGTAAAAATTAATTAACTCATAAATGTTGAAATAGTAATAATAACAATGTCATTTTATATAGCGCCTGAGGCCCATTACCATTATTACAACAAACACACGGTGCATAAATGCACGTGAATCAACCAATCACACACTTTTTGCATGTGACAGGCGTGGATCTTTTTTTGCATTTGAACCTGGACACTGCATCAACAACGCCAGGCACCTTAGCCATTACATCATCCCGCCGCTGAAATTTGTCTATAACAAGCAGACACATTTCAACAACAACAGAAGAGAGGATAAGGCTAAAATTTTCAACAAAATTATGACAATATGTATTATCATGATTTATAGAAAACTTTTTTAAAAAGACATAGAACGTAAAATCGGTTGTGAAAACGATTTGGTCTGATTAATTTTCGACGCCACTGCGTCAGAGAATGTATCTTATAACACAACGTACGCTTGTCATAGTGTTTAAACAACGTTTAAATGAGCAAATTGAAAATTATCGGATAAGAAAAAAAATCGGTTAAAATAATTTATTGGTCATGGAATTTAACCGAAAACTGTTGTTTACAAATTTTTATTTAAGATTTTGCTAATTTTTAAATGAAATGGCACTAGTTGAAGTTAGAGAAGTTCATTTCAAAAAGCTTATATATTTAAAATCGTGATATCTTAAATAACAAATAAGCTCATTCACAAAAAATTTACTTGTCGCTTTCATCGTGAATGTTTAAAATTTATTCGCCAGAGCATTTTTATATTTTAGTTAATAGTCAGTTAATTAAATTAATTAACTTACAACCATTCGTTAATTAGCTGACTAGCCAGTCAGTTTAATCAATTTATGTATGTATGTATATATCAATTTTATATTTCCACATATTAAATGATACTTAATCTATATACAATTTATTTCAAGAATTTACCTACTTTTGTCTGACTGAATGGTTACTAATCACATTTCAGATCCCGTTTATCCTTATTTTTTTTTCTTTTATATTTTGATCTTATTAACTTATGATTGTTTTTAATCTATTTATATTTATTCGTGCATAAATTTTGTCTTTCGGTTTCTCTTATAACTTGATCTTCAATATTTTTTACAATTTTTCAATACAATTACTCCTGCAACTTTTTTATAGTTTATTTTATTCTTAATTTTCTTGGTTTTGTTATAATTTATTTGCTTTTTAATCACACTGTGATTGACATTGAATTCAATTTATTGTTTCCTTTTCAAACGTTTAATTTATTACCTCTTTTCCGTTTTTATATATTAACATTGCTATTACTATTCGATACTGTGACTGATTTTCTCTTTTTTACAATTATTCAGGTCAAATATTTTTTCATTTCATTTCATTTCTTGTTCTTTAATTTCCTTATATATGTATATAATGGTTTAGGGACTATTTATATGCAATGCTTACATATATATTGGGGAGTGTGTGTATGCGTGTGTTTGGGTGAGTGGGTGTGTGTATGGGAGTATGTGTGTCTATAAATGTAAGTATGTATAGTATATGTATGGGTGTGTATGTATGCATATATTAATTAGTTTCAAACATTATAAACTTTACATATTTTACATATATTAATTGGCTTTTATATGTATGCATATATTAATTGGTTTTAACATTATAAATATTTATAAGTGGGTCAGAAGTGGGTGCATAAGAGATGTAGTGGTGTGAGGGGGGCACTGAAAAAAGTGGAAGGCACGTTCAAATGTAAGAAGTGTGTTCATGGTGTGATTAATAGGACGGACTCAAGGACGGAGTTGAGTGGTGGTATTGAAAGAGTGGAAAGCTTTGATTATTTAGGTATTAACCTGAACGCGGATGGAGGATGTTTGAACGCTGTTACGACTAGGGTTCGTGTGGGATGGATGAAATTTAGGGAACTTGGTGGGGTATTGTGTGGAAAGAAATGGTCAGTGAAAATATAAGGGAGGGTATATTAAGCTTGTGTGAGAGCAGCGATGGTATATGGTGGTGAAACTTGGGTGTTGAGGAGAGAGGAGGAAAGTGTACTGCAGAGGGCTGAAAGAGCTATGGTGAGGATGATGTGAGGGGTTAAAGTGAAAAATAGGAGGAGTAGTACAGAGCTGATGTCGAGGATGGGACTGAATGAGGACATTGTGACATTGATAAAGAGATCGAGATTGCGGTGGTATGGACATGTGTTGAGAAGGGATGAAAGGGTCGGGATTAGGCGAGTGTTGGAGTTCGAGGTTGAAGGAGTGATAGGAAGAGGTCGTCCGCGACTGGGATGGAGAGAGCAGGTGGAGAAGGACAAAGTGAAAGCGGGGTTGCGTGATACTGGGGCGAGTGACAGATGTGAATGGCGTCGAGGGGTATTTCGGTTTCATCAAAGGTAGCCAAACGGCAACCCCCGATCTCGGGGAAAATGTCGTCTAAACGTGTGTTGTTTGTTTAACATTATAAATATTTCATACTTTATATATGTATTTTTTAAAAATTGATTCTTTAAAAGTTTAAAAAAAAGAAAAAAAATTATTTAATTTACATTTATTTAATCGAACTATAAATTTATGGATTACTTTTTTTAATGCTTGGAATTCCGCTTAGTTAAGATTTACTCTTTTGGAATGCCCCATTATGTAACAAATTTATTGTTTGTTCATAATAAACGAGAATAATTATATTAATTAGGTTAATTAACAAATGGTTGTAGGTTAACAGCCTTTATTTAACTGACCAACTAGTTAGCCGACTAAATAATGCCAATTAATTAGTTAATCATTAGAATGTACTTTTAGAAGGTAATTTAAGTTCTAATAGCGTATTAAAGCTGTCACAGTTTAAAAGCTCGTAGTTGGATCTAGGGTCTGGGCGGACTGCAGGCAGTGATCTATCTACTGCCGGTGTGCGTGTGAAGCTCTTCTCCCAGTGCAAATATGAATTTCAAATTTAAGATATAAAATAGATATGTATTATTTTCTACGGTATTGAAATGAAATATACGTATATTTAAAAATATACTATTTTCCTTAAAAATATACATGTACAATGTACATGATATTCATTATCATTAGAATGCACTTTTTCTAATAAATAACAATTCATTAGAAAAAGTACAATCACAATATAAATACTTCAACTAAATTTATCATGAATTTCAATAAGTTTTATTAGTAAATAAAATTCTATAAGTAACAAAATTTTACATATGATCTATATTATTGATGTTCAAACTGGACAGCCACACCCAACGTTAAACTATTACTTATTGTTCTACAGATTTATAAGATTTTGTTATCTGAAACATTGAAACAATTTTAATTAATTATACAAAGCAATAAGGATCAAAAAGTTAAACATTTTCTTACACTTTTAGTGAAACTTGTGTATAAGAATGACAGAAAGAAAGTTAGTGTGGCAAGCTAAGTACAAAACTACTGTTTGGCGAACGTTTTTCTCTTTCTTTAACAACGATGAGGTGATACTATAAGCAATAAAATCAGGCTTTAAAGCACAGTTACAATTTTTTAGTTTTTCAAGCTATTCAAGCAGATTAAATAAAATGAAGCAATCTATAAATTTACGTAATAATTTTCCATTGAGGTGTGCTGCATTATATTTCTTATTTAATAACATAAATGCATTTTGATAGTCTTTTGTTGGTAATAAAATTCAAATCATAATATTTAACTGAAAAACCATGATGCCCAAAAATGCAAATTCAAAGCCTCGATTTTAACCAGAAGAGAAATAGAGAAAATGTATTTAAACTAGAATCTATAAACAGATTACATGTAACTTAAAAAAAATTAAACGTGTGATATACTTGTTAATTTGTTATTTTAATAGCATTGAATACGTAATAAAAGAATGCAAGAATCTAAATTTCGATCAGAATAGCGAAAATATGATTTAATTTAACTAGAAAGTAAAGTAACCTGCTTGAAACGTACTGATTGGATTATATTTTAGATAGACAGTTCTAGCAGGCTTTCCATCAGTGGACACAGCATTTTTTTTCCATTGCTTCATGACATTTGAGAATGATAATCCAAGATGAGCATCAACAGTTGTTAACAAGAAATTTTTGGTATTCAAATAAACAAGAGTATCAATAAGTGAATAAGGTGAATGAGATCCAAGGTATCTGGATTCCCACAAGTGCTCTTCAGTAATTCGACAAATCATCAAACCTTAAAAGGTTAAAAATTTCAGCAATATCATTATCATTATTCACTAAATAGAGTATATATCTAAATGGAGCATATTATAAGGCAACACCAAATTTATAGTTAAGAGTGAAATAAATAACAATAACAAAATAATTTTTAAATTAAAAAAAATACAATACTTGTATAAAATGCATTGAAAATTTTTTCAAGTCTTTCATGAAGGGGTTTCAGCGTATTACTTGCTACATTTCATTCCAATTTAAAATAAAATAGGCAAGATAAACTTTATGCCAGGTTTATGTTTACATAATTTTAGGAATAAGCTGATATTTCAAATTGCTTTTTTTCATCTGTGAAGTGGTGTATAATTTTAAGTTTTGTAATTTGTTCTTTTGCAAATTTAAAATGAAATATAGTGAGCGCTTTGAAACCCCTTCATGAGTGACCCAAAATTTCGTTTTCATTTTTCATTTTAGAAGAAGGGTCTTTTAAACTATTTAAGTGTTATTTTCATATATTTGTTTTCAAAATGCTGCGTTAATACTTTATTTAAATATTTAATTTATTATAAATTTTAAAAAAATTTTTAATTTCATTATTTTGTTCAATACAAAATAAAATTTGAAATCCCGTGGCTTTTTGTTATTTAGATATTTCGAATATCGAGATTTTTAATTTTATCACCATAATTTCATTTCTTTTTATCCTACACTTGCTAGTTGCAAATGATTAAAAAAACATGTCAAACTTTAAAAGTTGCAACTGCACATAATAAAAAAAGATAAAACGACTTTGTCGCAAACATGCCTTGCCTACGTACACTTAATATCGTTACAATTGAATAGGTTATGTGCCCGGCAGCCAAAGTATTTGAGAAATGCCGACTGCCGATCATCTCAAATCATCTCACATTAGCGAGCCATCAACATGGTTTTCGCCCACTTCACTCAACAACAACAGCTCTCACTACTGTGGTTACCGACATCGTAAACGGCCTAAATCAGAAGAAGCCAGCTCATCGTACAATTTTAACAGCACTGAACCTCACAAAAGCCTTCGATACCGTTAACAATCGTACTCTAATCTCTGACCTCCTACTGTCATCGCTTCCCTGGTCAATTGTCCGCTGGCTTTCAAAGTATCTGCACGGACGCTTCGCTTCAACAGAGTTCCGTCAACAATTCTCAAAACAACGTACCATCCGTTTAGGAGTACCTCAAGGATCTGTACTGTCACCAACTTTGTTTAACTTCTACGTCTCCAAGATTCCAACCCCGCCTCAAAACATCAAAGTTATTTCCTATACAAATGACTTCACAGTCTACACCACTATTCGGATGCAGATAGTCTGACCCACCGGCTCAATTGTTATCTGCCGAAGCTTTGACTTTTTCAACAACAGAAACTTGGAGATTTCCACCTTTAAGTCCACAGCCACTCTTTTCACATCCCACACATCACAATATCATCACCATCCTTCAAACAAAATCACTCCTTCCTCTTGAACACAACATTAAGATATTAGGCCTCACTCTAGACACGATGCTTTCCTTCTCACAACACCATAAACAAGCAGCATCGAAGGCCTCTAAAAGAACCAATATTTTAAAGGCACTCAGGAGCACCTCAAGGATCTGTACTGTCACCAACTTTGTTTAACTTCTACGTCTCCAAGATTCCAACCCCGCCTCAAAACATCTTTGACTTTTTCAACAACAGAAACTTGGAGATTTCCACCTTTAAGTCCACAGCCTCTAAAAGAACCAATATTTTAAAGGTACTACCTTCGGTCAGGATAAGGAAACTCTTCTACAAACCTACAAAACCATCGGTCGTTCAGCAATCGAGTATGCCTGTCCTGCCTGAGCATCACTGATGTCAGATTCAAGTTTCTCCTGGTTCCAACGCTCCCAAAATGCTGCATTAACGTCTGGTTACTGGTTGCCATGCCGTCGCATCAAAACGACACTTGCACTCAGAATGCCAGCTGTTAACGGTAAGGCAGCATTCAGAGCTAATAGCCTCACAATTCCTCCTCCTCCTATGCCATAACCCAAGCCACCCGTGCCATAATGTCATCATACAACCTCGTCCTCATCGTGACATAAAGCCACCCCCTCTCAAAATGGTTATCAACAATAAATTAGGTTTTACCAACAATAGACGTATCACTCGCCGTTATTGCTCGACGGATGGCCTCCTCCAGCACTAGAAATAAGAATCACTTCTAAGGGCTATCGGACGAACCCTCGCCCAACTCCGATCTGACCACATCAACCTCTGTACTTTCTGCAACAATCATACAGATGATGCTCAACATATGTTTAGCTGTCTCCAAAACTCCTCGGATCTTCAACCAATATACCTCTGGAGGAACCCTGTTGCAGTGACGGATTGGCTCCGACCTCGATTGGAATCCTGACGGACCGCGGAAGGGGCAACAACAACAACAGGTTATACTTAATCTCAATCCCGTGATCCTGAATACACATGATCTCGACTACTCGAACTTCAGTTTTTGTTGGCAATTATTAACAATTAATTATAGCATTATTCACTAATCAACATACATCTTTCACATTGGATATGATAAATTCTTTTATGTGTAATTTGGTGAGTAGAATCCGATTATCCTATTTTTTATTCTCTAGCATGTCAGGTTTTTGAGATAATTAAAAAAACTAGTAGTAATAGTAGCAATGCTGTTCTGGAAATTATTCAGAGAGCATGCTCTCAGGCAACAATCAACACCTGCTTTGAAAATGTTTACTGCACTTCGATAAGTTCTTTTGATAATGAACTCCAGATATTTGCCACTCTATTGAATAGATAATTCTCTCTATCAATCATCGTTTAGCGTCCAGAGACCCAGTTCTCCCGAGGTAAGACGTTGTTTTCTTTGCCATCATTTTTTTGCACCAAATTAGGCGATCATTTGTATCCAGTTCATTTAAATTTAGAGTTTTCATGTATTGCTCGATTGTTTGCGACTAGGACTTCTTTGGACGGCGTTTGGAACGTGTGCCAGTTACTTCAACATCTGCATTCGTCCTTTATATCATCAAAACCAGCACGACACAGGATTTCGGTAGATTTGAAATGGTCCTTCAGACTAATTCGTTGCATCCATCGGAGCTATTCGGTTCGGTGAAGTTGTTGTTCCAGTTTGGTTGTCATTGGCCATGTTTCTGCACCATATAACAACACCGGACGTATCACAGATTTATAAAGTCTTGATCGTAGTGGTAGTGGGATGTCACGTCGCATCAATATAAAGGCAAGGAGATGCTATTTATTCCAGGCTGCACGTATGCGTGCTCGAACGGCAGCTTTAGCTGTTCCAGTACAATCCAGAAAATCCCCTAGAAACGATGTGACTTTTCTACCTTAATGGCTTCAAAAACATTACTATTTCAAATTTATTGTTGTGGATTGTGCAAGCAGTACAAACAAAATTGGACACTTTAGATAAGGTATCAATTATTTTTGAACAACGTTTGTGACACCACTGCAGACACACGATTCAATTGTTACCTACGCCAGATTTACAAACTGAACAGGACCATCGTCCAGTACCTGTGGATTGAATGGGTTCACCAGTGTTCATTGCTTTGGTTTTGCTGATGTTGACTTTGAATCGGCGAGTCTGGTGTTCCAATTTCCATCACAAGTCGAACAAGACTCCACCTGATTGCTTCATGGGGAACTCGATCAAATGCTTTTTCAAGGTCTACAAAAATGTGATAGTTGTTGATGCTTTGCGAGGTACTTCTCTTGCAGTTGCCGAAGGATGTGAATTGCATCAATTGTTGACTGTCATGCTTAAGTTCCATTTAGTCGGCATTGAGCAATTTCTCCAGATTTCACGGCAAAGTTGAAGTAACGTTTGGATACCTGCAGTACCAGATGCTTTGATAATGTCATTTGTGAGTCCAGAGGACCCTGCTGCCTTTCTATCCTTCATAGTTTTCAGAGCTTTGTGTAAGCTCCTCTACAGTGATGTCTGGAATCGGACCTTCGATGGGTTACCATTGATGGGATTTGTTTCATTTAACGGATGGTTGAAATATTCTCTCCACTGTAGCTTGATCTCATTTTTGTTCAAGAACCATCTCATTTATGCTTTGCTTGTTTTGCTATGCGATACAGAAATTTCATTTGTTCACCTTTGATTTTAGTGAGCCACTCTCTGCACATATCTGCCCGAGCCGGTGCGACTTGACGTCTTGCATAGTTTTTCTTCTCACGGAAAATTTTATGGTCATCAACAGACTTTGATTTTTGCCATTGCTTGTATGCAGCTTTCTTTTCAGCTATTGCATTTTGTACACTGTCATTCCACCACCACCAAGTGTCCCGTTCATGCTGGCGTTTTGTACCAGTTTTCTCACAAACTGTAGTTGCAGCGTTTACCAAAACGGTTTTGTATGTACTCCAATCTGTACTGGCTTGCGATTGGTGGTCTAACTGTGTGACGACAATCTGTTGAAATTTTTCTCGATGGATATTGCTCTTCAGCTTCCACGTTTTGATTTTCCGATGCATTTGTTTAGACTTATGTTTCGACAGTTTGACAACCAGGTTTGTCACAAGAAGTCTATGTTGGGCGACACATGATTTTCCAGATATAACTTTGACATTTTTGAATAGCCTTCGGTGTTGTTGCTTGACAGCGAAGAAATCAATTTGCGTGGCTGATGATCCACTTTTGTATGTTATGAGATGTTCCAACCTCTTTCTAAAATATGTGTTCAGTAAACAAAATCCGTGACTTTCAGCAAACTCAAGGGTGCGGTTGCCATCTTCATTCCTTCCCCATAACATTGTCAAAACCATCTGTTTTTTCTCCAACGTGGCCATTGAGATCAGGATTGTTTCAAATTTTGGTATTGTTGAGATGGTGTCAGAGAACGCAGTCCAGAAGTCATTTTTCATCTCTTCTGATTCGCCTGTCTGTGGTGCGTATGCAGAAAAAAAGTCATTGTTTGC